GTAGTCGGCATTCGTCGCCGTAAAAGAAGCGGTCTTTCGCCGCCTTCGTAGCGAAACCGCTCCTCGTCAGTGACATCGTCATCGTTACATCCATATTGCGAGATCAATGGACACGGAACTCAGGCGGAGAAACGTCACTGGCACGAAAATAGTTCACGTTCCGTCTGTTGGTGATTCTCGCACTCACTGCCGGGTCACTCGAGGAAATTCGCTACTTTTCGCCATACGGCCAGGTGCCGATTCGAGGAGCATTCATCTCCGAGAAGCCCCTGACACCGCCTAGCCCGTCGGAGTCTCAGTTCTGGGCTGAATGGGCTGATCAGGCAGAGGGGGAATCTGTCTGATCGAGATAGCGTCGTGTAGTTCGCGGGTATTTCCCGATTGGCTGAACCACCTGTCCGATATCAAAGCTGCAGATGTGTCAGAGCGACCACCTGTTCGAGTTTCGAGCCGCGTGCTCCACTGTCGCGTCAGGATAATTCACGCCCGGAAGCACATACGATGGCCAGTACGTGGGTAAACTCTGACAGTTGAGAGACCGGCTGACCGGCTTTCAGGGCGTAGGGCTGGCAGTGGACAGCCAGTGAGGCCGCCAAGTATGAGCGAGGGAGCGAGCAAGCAAGCATCATCAAGTCCGATGAACACTCATTGCTCCGGAACACCATTCGGCCTTGACGTTCGCCGCGCATTGGTCAGAGTGGTGAACGGCCAGCCGCAGAAGGACCAGACCGATGGAAAGGCGGACAGAAAAGCGCGCAGCAGCGCGTCGATGCGCTCGGGCTTTACAAATCGTGGAACCGAGCTTCCGTCAAGCGAACATCGCATCTCGGAAAGTCAGAGAATATCCATGTGCCGGTGAACACTCGATGACGACACTACTCGTGCTCGCAAACGGAGGAACTTGAGCATAAATATGGACTTTCGTTCGATTGAAGAGATCCCGCGCTGATTCTCCAGCTTCAGCTCTATCCAATAGGGGAGCGGGATACTCGGTCCCTGGTCCTGAGCGACTCACCTGCTACTGAATGAAAGAGCGATTTGCTCGATGGAGTCATAGATAATCTGGGAGTTATTGTCTACGTTCGGATCACTCTCTTCGTAATTGTAGTTCCTGACATTCTGTATCAGACTGCTGGCATTCTGAAGGAGCTCTGAGCTCTGTATCGGCGGATATTTCTGTAAGATTCCCCGGAGGATCTTGAGAACTTCACCGAGTTTTTCATGTGAAGAGACGAGCAACTCCGTGTTATTCAGCTTATCTGGGGGACGAAATTCGTATTAGGCAGTTCTTGCCGGAATCCCTCGTCATATGCATGAGCATCGCGACCATCCAAAACGAACGGAACGCCGAGATCTTACCCCGCTCGGCGGCGAATACGTGTCGCAGTTTTGCGAGAGCGTCCTTGAAGTTGCGAACGTCATGGGTGAGAGCCAGGAGATCCTCCCGTTCTACAACTGCGGCCCCCGATGCTGGCCCGGTCACTGCGGCGGACAGAGGAGGAATCAGAACCTCTCGAGAATCAAGCTCTCTCTCGACCCTAATCTCATTACTCATTAGTTCCTCACATTGGGTTGCGGATTGTTGTTGCGGTTGTTGCTGGCCTCTGCTCGTTGTCGCACCGCATGCATGATTCTGATGGAGGTGTCGGTGCTCAGGGAAATCGCACGAGTTCACGGATGTCATCGATACGGAGCGGCTAATCGGATCCGTGAGAGGGTGCACTGAGCTGGTGGGATTCGCTCCATTGGCCCCCATCAATGAAGACGCGCTTGGGTTGCGACTGTGACACGAGGGTCGTCTTCCTTCCGGTAAGGAACCTACGGTATAACGAGCCGACGTCAGCTACAATCAAAAAATTAATTTTCGCGGGACAAGGGGTGAGATACGAACGTGAACTTGACGAATAGCTCGACGGCGTCGGGGGACTCGCGGCTTCAGCTCGTTGTCGATTACCCGGTACTTGAGAAGAGGTTTTGCCCGATGAAGATCGGCTGGATGAGTTCTTTTTATACTTGCCGCTGGCTTGTTGGTAGTGATGTGGACATGTGCCACCTCGATGAGGTGATGTTGAAGCTGTGTTGCTCGCGTAAATCGACGAAGTCGATGAGGACGACTGTTGGTCATCGCGATGCTTCGTCGAGGCGGGACTGTTGCGACCGGACTCATCCGGCTGGAAAGTCTGCAACAAGCATTCAGGGAGCGGATTCTGAGAGGAGATTCTGATTTCGCATTAGCCTTGAGACTCCTCAAATAAGACAGCAGATGAACAGGATTTGCTGGGGCGCCCCCTCTCTTCCTAGGCTAAAGATGGTCGATGAAACTCCCCCCTCCCCCCCTCAGAAGTGGGAAGGCTCAACGGCTGCCCTTTAATCGTGATCTCGTCACATGCGCGGTCTTGTCCCAACATGAAGACAGGCTCATCCGGAATCATGGACCTATGGGTCACCGAGGAATCGATTACGCCATAGACAGCCCCTCTATTCGCTTTGTAGGGCGTGCCCGATTTCCAATCCGTGTCGAGCTCGATGCCTCTATTTTCGCACACTGGCCCCCTCCCTCATCATCAGGGCCTGGAATCCGGCGTGGTCGCGCAGAAAGCCGTGAATTTCCACCGCGTTTCCGGCCAACCCGCTACTTAAGATTTTTCGGGGGCCGGAACACGTCTTCGATTTCTTGGGAAAATGCTGTGAATAATTCCCAGCCGTAGCCATCATCTATCGAATAGCTCTCCGCTCTAGACATGGGCTCTCGTTTAAGCACCCCTTTCGTATCATTCTGGTATCATATACAATAGTGTCTATCGAGGGTCCAAATCAAGCTGGTCAAAGCATCATCTCTGGGAGGGTATAAGAGGAAGGGTTGAGTGAGGTATAAGGGTGAAAAGGAGGGATGAGTGCGTACGGCCATTTCTCCCAGACAAAGACGAAAATATCTCCAGGAACCAGCTGCGCCACTTCAGCCACAGGCCACTTTGCAGGTGGCGCAGCTAAACCGCTCGCATAGGAAACCACCGAGCTCGGTGCAATCTTGAGAGGGAGGCGCTTCCCTTATCAGAGGGGAGCCAAAGTTATAAGGACAAAACTCTGCTTTCCTGGTTACCTGAATAATTCCTGGTAAAGCCATAATTACTCCAGCGGCATAGCTCGCTCGCCGCTGACGACAGGTTTTGCATAAGGCCTTGGCAAGATCCATGACGTTTTTGTAGGGTAAAGATGCTCTCCGGGAAGCTTTGTGCGGTACAATCGAAGACTCCATGAAACCACGGAGGCCCGAGTGCGAATGAGTTGCGTGCGCCTTCTCCTTTTCGTCTTTCTTGCGACTCATCAGACTGTTTAGTCGTGGCTGTAGATTCTTCTGTATTTGCCGACGGAGCCTCAGAGATTCGGCGTTCCTCCCTAGAGGTATAGTACTTGAGGGACGACCCACGACATCGACGCTGTTGGAATCGTAGCTGCGAGCTCTTGATTGCACTTCCTACATATTCCCTTTGGGACGCGATTCGGCTTGCGTCGAGAGCGGGGAGAAACTTGGTCCGCGAGAGGACGCGCATCGAACGGCCGATACCATAGGAAGCCTCCTCTTTCCGGGGTACCTTGGGCTATGTTTTGCCACGGAAAGCTCTCCACGTGAGCGCTGCATCGGAGTTTCTGAGCGGGCGCTCAGGGGCGACCGAGAAGATGTGCCTACCTGAATTCGTCTGCGCGAAATGATGACTGATAGGGGAGGGCGAATGGCACGCGAGATACTGTGGTCCAAGTTAGAGCAGCCAAACACGCTCAAACATCCTCCGAGCGAGGATTCGTTCGGCTGCCGTGCGGAGTACAAAGCAGAAGAGCCCTTCGACGATTGGGAGAGACCGGGCTTGAACCCGCGATACCCTGTTTGGCACACTCACCTCACAGCCCCCTCGTGGCTAAAATTAGGAGAACGGAGGACAGAGGGATGTAGGCTGGCAGGCTGGTTCGTTGGCTGGCTGACTGACTGCCGGCCTAGCTGGCGGGTGGATGGGAGCTTAGTAGGAGTTAGTTACCCCTCTTCTCGACTCAGTCGGTCTTTTCCACTCAGTCGAATTGGCTCCTCGGATGCGGTGACGACACAGACATCTTCGGGGAGCTGCCAGCTATGCTAACCTTTACGAGCGATCAGAGAATATGCACGATAGCACTCTGTCTCAATCCCCAGCGCTCTGCTTCCTCGTCCTCAAGTTTCCGACTTTGTCCCTGCGCCGCGGCGAGCTACAACGGACCGCGCACACTTGACGGATCACTCTTTCTCCAGCACGGTTCCTCAGTGGGCCCCTATGAAAATTCTGTCGATACACTGTCGGTTCGATTTGATGAAGCTTGAGTTGGTGAACTCTGGTGGCTCGAGACGCGTAGTCATTCCGACGGAGTCCGCTTCTAAGGAGTGCCAGGCTCCCTAGTTGCCGACCGAAAGATGAGAAATCACTGATGACAGTAGTCCCAACACTTGAAAATGCGCTCCGAAATCGTCTCGTCTCTTCCGGACTTGGCGGCGGTCAACGGGAATGAATGTATCACTGTCCTGAGTTAGGACGACATGCGTGTCCCGACCGACTTGGCCAAGTTATGATTCGCGCTTAGACACCGCGAGGAATCTGAGGCTTCTCCCGAATCCGAAGGAAGTTATGGAGGAGGCTGCCTGTGTGCGACGGACGGGGGCAAAACCGGGAAGGAGGATCGAGAGAGATTCCACGGCCATTCCAGGGGGAGCCACCTCTGCGGTCCTCGTTGGCACTCAACTGGTCCGACCCCCTGTTGCTAGCTAGAGAGCCAGCCGAGCACTTCGCCAGCTCGACTCCCCGGCCGAGTCAGTATGCTCCTCACGAGGTGGGATACGAGTCCAATACTAGTCCCGTCTCGAGAACCTTTATTTTCGTTGCGAGACCGTCCTCATTGCTCAAATGGATGAGAACCCTGAAGTGTTCTTTTTTTTGGGTCCTGGTGTGAGACGGCGAACGAGCCGAACACGATTACCGACATGAGGGGGTTCTCCTCCTATTGACGAAGTCATTCTAGATATACACCCGCCCCAAGACGATTGCTCCAGATGCCGATCGGAGCGGAATCTCATGGATTCTTGCCTCACGGATTCCTACCGTGTCATCCGGAAGGACTGGCTCTTTCTAAGACGCTCCAAATACATAGTGATTGCATCTCCACTAGATTTTCGCGCTAAAGATTATATGTTGATTACGAGCCGGAAGTTCTCGGGATCATATATGTAGTTGACGGCGTCATGGAGTCATCGATCAATCGTCGCCTGGACGCTGTTTCGCGAGTCCATCCGATTCCATCGGGAAATCCCGATTTCGCTGCAAGGGACGGCTCGGATGGCAAGCGGTTCCGGTGGCCAGGAGCAAGATTCGATGGATCGAGCCATAAATGATATCGCAGATTATCCTCGGATCAGAATCTCGCGGAAGCGGCGGTCGTGACGTCACCTCGGTCATCGCATTTCTGAGCCGTCGCGATTTGGAAAACTTCCGATTTTGTCGCCCCGCCCCAGACCGGGGACGAATCTCTTCTACGAAGCGATCGGAGGATGGGGATGCCTAGACGTGAGGAATCCTCGTCCCATCTCTTGCAGCAAGAACTTACCTCGTCGAAGTTCCGCGAGAAGACTCCCGGATGTGAATCGAGCTCTAGGGTCGAGCTCCCAATTGAATCATCGAGTTCTCCATCATCGATGTCGATACCGGACGTATCCGCGAACGACGCTTTCTTTTTTTCATATTCGCGCTTCTGAACTCTAATGTAGTTGCCCACTGCTCTGGCTAGCACATACAGCTTGGCATTATCACAGGAGGTCTCGCGAGGCCGCTCTCGTCCGGTCGTGGATTTGGGCACACAGCTCGATTGTTTCCCTCAAGGTGTGCTTGTCACCGGGGGATCAATGATTTAGGGCGGCTTTACGGAGGCTGAGCGAGCTCCACCTCTTCTTAAACACCAGGTCAGCTTGTCACCTCCACCGACGCTTGAAACAGAGTAATCGTCCCTGCTCCGGTTGGGAACACGCGAGCGGTACGGAGTGACAACCTGTTCTAAAAATACTACTCATTTCAAGCCTAGTTGCTTCCTCCTATTGGTTGATAGAAGAAAGGGGGACATCGCCCCATCAGACTCGCGCCGAAGTTCTTTTATGTTGTTGCTGCCACTCCTTGCAGTCGTCCTCCAGCGCTGATGTGTCGTCGCACCGTCAGCCGGTCAGTCGCGACCTCGTACGCTGCCGAATCCCCAGACTCGAATCCACTCAATCCGTCGATGCTAAAGAGGACCTTCTGAGTATGCATGGAGCAGAGACGAGGAGCTCCCCCGAAAATCACTGATCGGACCTGTGGGTGCATCATGTGATATTTATTCGGCATCTCTTCAATTTACTTCTACGCTGTCTGTCACACAAAGCCCGTTCAACGTTAGAATAATAGAAACATGGCAACTACTTATTAAGTAGTACTTAATAGAGATCAGGAGTCGAAGACTCCGCTCGCTTCTACATATGCATTAGTATTGCACTCGAAGAGTTAATTTATCCTCGTATAATGGGTCGTCATATCCCCCCCTTGACACAATCGACGATGAGGCTTCACTCCGTCAACTACCTGTTGGATATAAGATGCTGAATGTTGCATCTCATGAGAGCACGTTTGTTCCTCTCCTGTGGGAATCGGGAGAGCTCCCTCCGATCCCGCTGAGCGACGAGGATCCCGGTCTCAGGCCACGGGGTCGAGGACGCTTGGCGTCCGAGTATTTCGAGATGAGCGCTGAGCTCTCGGAAAGGTATTGGCAATCGTTTATGGCATCAGTGGCGCTCCACGGGCGTGAGTTTATACGATGGCCGTGGTGAGTGACTCGCGACTGAGACATGGGCAGACTCTGGAAGTGCCATTGACCGTGGTCGAACACTTCTCACATGCGAGTAGTCAGATGATTGATCGATATCGAAAAAACTTCGCCAGTCGGCAGAGACTATTGCGCTCGACTTCGATCCGCTGGGCTCCCCTCCCCGCGCCGACACGAAACGAATCACAGTGAGTACGAACGAGAACGAACAAGCCGATTTCGGGCTTGTTCAGCATGCTTAATGTAGAAAAAAATGTAAATTCCGCCTTGCTGTTCTATCGGTCTTCAAGGCTATCATATCCAGAGATCTTTTAGGCACGAGTGATCATTCTGGAATGATCACTCGAATGCTATCGCTTCAAAGGCGATCACTTTGAAATCCCTGCTGCTCGCCAGCGGCTCATTGTCGAATGTTGATGAGCGATCGCTCCGTCCCGTATTCATGTCGAGCGGTATGTGTAGAGCACCGCATCCTATATCGAGGCCGTCGACCGAACATTGGAACAACTGCTGTCCGGCTGAGATTTCCGTCTGAAAATGCACATAAACTCCAGTGAATTTCGAGCTGGAAACCGCGACCAGAGCCGCAGCTGAGCTACGCAGCATATTCCCCGAATACCCTCGATCTCCTCCATGGAGGCGCAATGTCGAAGAGACGCTGGCACTCACATCACAAGGGGCGCCATAACCGACCCACTTGTAGACTTTCAATGTTTCACTCTTTCCGAAAGAGAAGACGAACGTTTCTCCCGTCCCGAAGAATTTTTGCCCTTTCTTCCGAGATCCCCACGCTACGGAGCAGAACGCGCCGAAAACATCCGCCTCCGAAGTTTTCACGAGTATGACCAGAGGTTCGACGGCATCGACCATGTGGAAGAAATTCCTGCAGCAATCGGCGGCGCTGATTAGGCATGCGAATCCAAAAGCTTCCGAGGCAAACGGGCCATCACGATAAAGCAATTATACAATACAATAGATAGGTACAATTGACACTTTAGCTGAGGAACCTCGGCTACCCTCACCGTAAAGATGTGCCATGTTCGTTCGATGTGAATACAATGTAAGGCTTGACAACTGTGTATCGGTCAGGCAGATGAGACCACAATTGCTCCAACTGGAACTGATTCGCAATGGAGGACTGGATTTCGGACACGAAGTAGAGTACAGATACATCCAATGTGTTGAGCGTGATCTAGCGAGCGGAGATGAGACATTGAATTTCCAAACTCAATCCGATAGAACCGAGGATCCTAAAAACGCCGTGCTCGACTAAGATGCCTAAGACGAGATGGGCGCATCGAATGGAGGAGGTATCACGAACCTGCTTCACGACGATTTCCTTAGATGTAGATATGTCCAGCGGCAGCCGTGACGCAAGGTTGGATATCGCTGGTATGCTGAGGGACGATGCGAGCTTTGACAGCAAGCGAGACGAAAATCCTCGGATAGAGTAAGCTTTCTCTATGAATTCTTCCTCGGACAACAGTGATGGTAGACTATTACGAACGAACGCAACCAATCCATCCAGCAGCAGAGGTGCCATTTCGAACTTGCGCTTCACTTTGGGGGTTGCTGTAGGAATACATACTCTCTCATTTCTATGCTTCATGAAGCGAGTTCGTCCGGATCCAGTCCGAGCTCTAATCATCTACACTGAAGCAAGGATTCCCATAAGCGGCTTGAAGCTCTTCTGAGTTAGGAAATTTATCCGCGAAGCGAGAAAAGATGCGAGTAGACTCTTCCGCAATCGACTGAGGATCGCTGAGCTAGAGGCGGTTCAGACCAGGAGAGATCGTTTCTCCGGGGAATCCCGTGAGCTGTTTCGAGAAGCTCCCCGATGTTCCAAGCCTTAAGTACTCGCGCCCATCACCCCTCTCATCACAACAGCCACCTCCAAAAGTCTCAGTCGTTTCGAAGACAAACCTCGGATAGATCTACGGAAAGATCTGCGCAGTCGTTCTGTGAAACTCCTTCGGGTTCGCATGCTCCGACTCGGCGAAAAGTTGTTTCCGATTCCAACTGTAGAATGTATTCATGGAGCGAACTCCACAGTAAGAAGACTCATGCAAAAACTGAACATCTAAACATCGAGCGCTGCAGTTCGATGATAAATAATTGAGGTAAGGAATACAGCGCGTGCAATTCATAAACTTTTACAGAAGCATCAAGAGTAGCATATCGGCTTGTCGGCTTCGGAAATGGCTCTTCCATGAAAGCAGATCGAGATCATATTAGCCAAGAACTCACATTTTGGAGTGCTCGAGTTCGCAATGCCATCGCCGAATTGCGAGTACAAAATCAAGATCAGTAACGAACTTCGATAAAGCGCTCGCGTCCCCTCGAGCAAAAAGTTGTCGAAAACCCGTATGATGTATTTCAATGGCAGACCTCGGAATATCCACAAGGGCCAGGTGAGGAAAAATTGCACAATCTGAAGGGAATGTAGAGGGGTCTGAGTTCAATCGCGAAGTATGAGGGTCGACGACGCAGCGCGATAGATAGGTATCCTTTTCGGTGGCAGGCTGCGGACGAACCTCATCTTCTTTGGTTGAAAGTGAGTTTTCGATCCATCTATAAGTTTTCGGTGAGACCTTCCGGGATAGTTTCTGGAAGGTCATCGATGTCCGGCTGTACATGTTGGGCGTTTGGTCGAGATGATGGACGCGATTGTTATCCATCAGGGAACAGACAGCCCTGAGGAGTAAACATATCAGGATAATTCCCTCATGGATAGAGCCGGCTTTCCCCCGAAAGGTAGCCACCAAGACTGATGAGCTCGGGAGACTCGAGAGCTGCTCTCGGTCGCGCAAGTCCCCCCGCATCGAGAAATGGCGTTGTGTTCTGGAAAACAGGCTCAAACTCACTTGTAAGCTTCCTGGTGAGGCAAGAAATGGAGAAGTACAGCAGTCACCGGGTAGAGTAGGGGTGCGTAGATGACATGTGTATAGGATATACCGACTGTATTGATTATACGATATAAGCGCGAACTGCGAAAGAAAAAAAATACAATTTTCGCGTGAGAATCGCAAGAAGCAGGATCTGGTCAATCCCGACCGCCTTCAGCGATATCAGAGCGGCCATAAGGTGTGACGATCTATAAGATATCCCCGCCATGTCGATCAAAGTTCCACGGACCGCGTGATCCAGACGATTGGGCCCGTCACGGCGCGTGATGTGCTCAAATCATCCTCTGATATGTACGGGACCGTGCCACAGAGTCAAGCCAGTTTGTACGAGCTCTTTGATGAGCAATCGAGTTCTCAACGAACGAGAATACTTATATATTTTTCCCCTCGAACCTTCATTGGTACTCACATCCCTTCTTCCTGTAGCCAAAAATCGTCCGCAAAAGCCGGATCGATGAACTTTGGTAGCGATTTGAGGGATGCCATACCATCGTTCCTGGAAGAAGATCGTTCCATGAAGTTGGATTCTCACTCAGATATATGAATTTTGAAGCGTATCCATTGAGGAATCCCGTCAAGTCTCACCCGGCTCTGTTGTCATAGAAGGAATCACTCTGGGGAATCTTTGAGTGATATTTGCAAATTTCCGTCCAGAATCGCCGTCGGAAGGGAGAGCCTGAACCGATTCTCGCTGTCCGAAGGAACTTCTTTGCCTTGGAGAGAGATGAGAGAAAATTGATGAGAGTCGGCAAATTTGAGAAACACCAATTTTGTCGGCGAGTTCGAGAAACCAAGCTAACGGGATTACCCATAGGGTTACCCACGTCTACCCGCGGCCATCAAAACCGTATAGGCGTCAACCGCGGTATCTCCCCTGGGAGGGGGCTCATCATGGCCGATGGATGAAGGATGATTCGTTCGGTGACTTACATTCTTCGTTTTATCTGACTTGAGATAGTTTTCCAGTTGTTCAATCGACTGGCAGACGCCGGAGTCCAGGGACGCTCCTGTGTCACTGACGTTGTCCTGCTGCATGGCCTCCAATTTTCACGGGGGTCTCTCAATTTCAAGGGAGCTCATTTCGCATCTGAAACTCGAGAGAGGCTCGAAAACCCACAGCGAGTCCCCGGCGGTCCGTTCCCCATCATTGCACTTCCTCTCTGATTTAAATGCGAGTATCCTTTCCGGCATGAAATCACTCCTCTCTCCACTGCCTATTCGCCGTTTCCATCACAGCTACTTCGGAGGGGAGGAGGGTTCGGAAGTGAACGTCTCTCGAGAGGGTCCGGCATCGAGGATCGAGGTCCTATCGAGGCTTATTCCGCCGAAGAGGCGTTCCACATGGAGAAAGACATCACAAGTGAGATCTGTCAACGAGAAAGGAGCATTGCGATGAGACTGGTGATCTTTGCCCAGGGAGCTGACGGGCGCTGCTTTCGACTCCGTCCAGTGGTCGGCCCCGAGAGTCCAGTGCTCCTCCGAGATTAATTGGGTGGTCTCGACCTGCCCATTCATCTTGGAGTGAAGAGTCGTGAGGGGGAAGTGGATTCGTATTCATGGCGGATCTGCTCCGGGGCACGTGCCTCCTCGGAAAGTCATATGTAGGTAATTCTCGGTACGAGAGCGACCGGAGGAACCGTCCCGATTCGAGAAGGTCGAAGCACACCCTCGGGTCGAGTCCTCGGCAGATAGATGTCCCGGTGGCGGCGGAAATTCGCGAGGTCATGCCACATTTGTTCCATGAATATACTATGGAATCCTCATGAATATACAATGGAATATCGGGACTTTGATTCGACGGTCCGGCCTAACCGGATAAAGCCGAGATACCATGCATACATCTTCTGAAACCGTGCGTTTTCCGAGAGGATCAGCGCACCTGGAACTGCCTGCGTAATCGTGCATATCATCCCGTAGAGATCCCCGGCCCAGAGCTCAATAATGATAATCATCTCGATCATGATGATGGACGCTCATCATCGGATATAGGTACATATGGACCCGATGGACGACACCTGTCAAGCCTGGAGCTCTGGGATCTGGGAGCCGGAATTGAGGAGGCCCGAATTGGCGGGAGCCAGACGACGTGGAGAAGGTGGAAACGACAACGTGCCAGATATATGTACGACCTCATACCCCGCCTTGTGCGCTTTAATCACAGCCTATGAAGGATAGAGCATCCACAACAGTTTGTCTTCACTTCGAATTGAAACCAACGGTTATCACGTATTCCATCAGGTGTCCCGCCCCCGTTCCAAGTTCAGCCGTGAAACGCATCAAACGCTGCTCTCAGACAAAAATCTGGAATATCTGGAAGATGAGCGGTACCCAGAGTACATTCGCACATGAATGTCTTCTCTGAGGTTGCAGGAAAGCACCGCTGCGACATCTCGCGTCGGAGGCGCGTCATTTCCACTGTCACTCCAACTTCATTGAATGCCAGTAAAGAGAGGTCTCGCGTAACGAACGGCTTGCATAACAAGCAGCTCGAGCGAGGAGAATGTCTCGAGAAGATTGATTAGTTTCGAAAGGGAAATCGCTCGCACGATAGATACAGATATCGCCGCGCGAATGAAACGGGAACGCTGTACTCCGGAGAGAATCGAAAAGCTCCATTCCCACCAGAGGAGCATCATCTGGGCCTCTGTCGTATGCATTCGCAATCGTCCTCCTACCATTCTCGATCGAAAGCAGGTTCATCCCGGCTCGTCAGATTCCACGCGGGCTTCCATGAATATAGCTCCCACGAATCGGGGCTTCCCGAATTCGGCCTTCCACCGATTTAGGATTCCACTAACTGGGGCTCCTACAAATTCGGGCATCCTCAACTCAGACTCCCGCAGAACCCATCCGTCGGCAAGTACCGAGTGATGTTGTGTGTCGTCGAGCTATCGAAAGCGGCGACAACGCATCGCGCGCGTTGAGGTTCCTTCTCCCAGTCGAGGGGAGCCTCGACGCTTTGAAAGAACGTTCCTAGGGGAAATTCAGGCACATTGGAAGGATGCCAATGGGGATCATCGCTCTGGCAACCACCAGAATCGACGGCGAGATCCTCGAACACTGGTGCAGCATGCAGTCGGACATTCGAAATGATAATTAGATTCGTCGAGAGGCACATCGGCGGAGGAATACCGCGTGAAGCGTGAATCGATGATGTCTGATGACGATTACCCACCATGGAGTCCTTGCACTGCGCGAATGTTCAAGCCTTCTCCCCGAATCCCGAGCCCGGAACTGGAAATCATCCTGCTCACCACTGTAGCCTTGGAGAGGATTTTCAGCACTTCGGAGCTCCTCACTCAGACAGTTTCTGCAAAAGCGCTTGAGCGATGAGAATTTTTCTGATCTTGGTTTCTCGAAGAATTGACATGATAGTGGAAAACCATATCTCAGCTTTGGCTGTCACTGGACTCCTGGTCCATCGCTTTTAAGGACATATTCGTGAAGCAAGGTCCCGTATTCCGAATATTATCCGCCTCCGGGGGAATATAGAGCAGGGAGAACTTTCCTCTGTCTGCTGTCTGCTGATATTCTCCCTACCGGCCGTACCCTCAGGAAACACTCTCCCACAGATGATGATTACCTATCAGGGGCGTATAAAGGATCTTTTTTGGGGAACGCACCAATTTCCCTGGGGGAGGGGGTTCTCGAAGATTCGCGTAAGCCGAAGGTTTTGAAAACCGCGGTCTTTTTAGAGGCCGAATCGGACCACCAGTCGCGGCCGCAGCGCCGTGGTTGTCGACGAATGTGTGGGGCGCTCTCTCTCCTCCTCTGCGGGTGTTGTTATGTCCATCGTCATCATCGTCTTCGTCGTCATTCTTAGAGGCCATGTGTCTATCACAACGACGAACCACCACATCGATCCGCTCCTCGATAAAAATCAACACCTCGCATACGAGTTTCAAGACACTCATGCAATCTATGTCTTTTGAGCAACGAAGTCGCGTACCTGCGTAGATCCCCGATCATCTCCCACTGGAGTTACGGGACCGGAACGACTTCTGAATTCGGCGCTCAAGTTTTCTCTTTATTTGTTCCGTCCGAAACTGAAGCAGACGCCTAGCAGAAGGAAAAAGCACTTCGTGTGTTGTTGCTGCCCATACTCTCTTCATCCGGACTTGAGGCAGTGTCGTTCTTTGCGGATCCTCCGGTCTTCGTTCGGTCCTCGAATCGCTCGCCATTCCTCGCGATCGTAGGTTCCTCCGTCATTCAGCTCGCCAATAAGCCCATCTGCTCGCCTATCTGTACGGGAGGAGCACGCTCGCTGCCCGTCTGACCGATCCGCCGTAAAAACCCGCCCGCTCATCGTGTGCCGCTCGTGAGTAGGAGACTGCTGATCTCTATGTGCGACAATTGCAGTCGTTCCGCGATGCATGAGCGTGACTTGCAGGCTTGATAGTGATTTTCCAGCTGCATTCGGATAATCGGAATCTGAGCTGAAGAATGGCAACCGCGATCAGTTTCACCGGTGTTCGTTTGTCGCACCTCAATTCTGGTGGTGAACTCCTTGGCAAAGAAGATGGTTCATTGAGACTGCAGCCTCTTAATCAGACGGAGAATTTCCTGCTACGATTTTTCAAAGGTGAGTTTCTCCATGGAGTCCAGGGCTTCGTTCATCGCTGATGTTTCCCCACCTGCTCTGGAGACCGAGAGATATGCCGAGCGGAATTGTCGAATCACACGCTCTGCTGCCGCCTTTCGGCGGGGAAAAAGTCGCCTATTTTCGTGCTACGTTTTTGTGAGCTCCAGCCCGCAGGGCCGTCACGATAATTAATTGTAGATCAAACCATGTCGACAGCCGAGAATCTGCTCTGAGAGAGTTGTTTTGCCTCGGATTATCCCCACATGACTCAAGTTCTTCTGTGTCGCTTCGATCACCTCATCTGTCTAGGCTCTGGCGACACATCGAAGTGCCGAATTCAAGCAATCGCTGCGTTTCAGACTCGAATGTCAACACTCCAGCCGCAAACGCTCATCTCGAAGTGGAAGTGTTCAAGGATAGCGATGTGTCGCGCGTAGGTAGTACAGCATTTGTCGTCAACCATCAAAAAGGCACATTGCTCGTTCATTTCGAGGATCAGAAACAACGAGAAGTCCTTGCCAACCTCATCAGCAAGTAGGTTGAAGAGCCCCATTCGCTGAGGCGCGCCATGGCTGCATCAATATGTTTCGCGCTATCATCATCCTCATCATCAATCTTCATTGATGATGATGAGTGAAGTACGTATGACACCTCTCACGATTCTTATCGACAGGTATCAGAAAGGCGAGGATCACAGTCTGTTCTCGGAACGCACTGAGGAATCGTCTGCGTCTCAGTATTTCCAATTCTACGGATACTTATCCCAGCAGCAGAACATGATGCAAGACTACTGGAGAACAGCGACTTATCAACGGGCAGTGTTGAGCAACGTCGAGGATTTCAGAGGCAAAGTGATCTTAGACGTAGGAGCCGGCTCCGGGATACTATCCTTTTTCGCCGCTCAAGCGGGTGCTGCTCGCGTCTACGGTATCGAAGCGTCGTCTATGGCCAAACACGCGGAGAGCCTTGTCTATGCTAACCGTCTTCAGAATGTCATCAAGCTCATCCCGGGGAAAGTCGAAGAGGTTGTTCTCCAAGAGAAGGTGGACCTGATCATTTCGGAACCGATGGGATACATGCTGTACAACGAACGCATGCTTGAAAGCTATGTTCACGCGAAGAAGTTTTTGAAACCCGGCGGAAAAATGTTCCCAACGCTTGGAGATCTCCACGTCGCTCCTTTTACCGACGCTGCACTGTTCATGGAACAGATGAACAAAGCCAATTTTTGGTGTCAGAACTCCTTCCACGGTGTTGACCTGACGTGTTTGCGTGACTCCGCTGTGAAGGAATATTTCCACCAGCCGGTCGTCGACACATTCGACATGCGCATCCTATTGGCGCAATCGGTTGTGCACTCTGTAAATTTCGAGAAAGCCGACGAGGTGGATTTGCACAAAATTCATATTCCTCTCGAGTTTGTTGTCACTCAGAGTGGTGAGCTGCACGGTTTAGCCTTTTGGTTCGACGTGGCCTTCGTGGGGAGTCAACAAACCGTCTACTTGTCTACGTCGCCCTCGCAACCTCTAACTCACTGGTATCAAGTACGATGCCTTGTCGACAAGCCGATGATTGTCACCAAGGGACAATATCTCGACGGCCACTGCACCTTAATGGCTAATAAGCGTCAAAGTTACGATGTCGACATCGAAATCTGTATTCGGGGGACTCAGGTGCGAGCGCGTAATACTCTAGATCTCAAGAACCCCTTCTTCCGGTAAGCAGACCTGGAGATCCTTTAAGATCTATATGCATCCGGTGTTGGTCGTCCTTCCCAGGACTGGGAACACAATCGGGGAAGTCGATGGGCTAATGGAAGTGTCCCCTTTGAAGGTACACGGGTCAACCGGTCCAAGCGCCGCCTGGATACTGTGAGACTTCTCCGTCACATGAATATTGGTCTCAGTCAGCCTCGGACGTACATCATGCCGGTGAGCCTTCGAGCTCCAGTTCGATATGGAGTCTAGATCATCCAACGTGTTCGATTTCCTCATGTAGCGTTTGATTCTTCCAGCGAACAACACTGAGATGTTGAGCGTGAACGGCCAGGTGATCCAATTGCAACATCATCAGCAGCTGGTGCAGAACGGGGCCGCCGATAAGTTCAAACAAATGCAAGCTCAAGTAGGTACCAGCGTGGGAGACAACCTCCAAGCCCAGACCTAGGGGCATCTTCCCGAGAGGATGGTCTAAGGATCGTGTCCCGAACACCCTGAGAAAGCCACATTCAGATTTAACGTCGACTTCTCGAATATATTCTCCATTCTCGCGCGCGAGGTCCGATCGTCTGTCCTCCTTGCTAAATCGAAATGTTAGCTCTCTACCGCAACTATGATGTGCTAGTCAGCGTTGTCAACTTACAGGGCATACCGATCCCGTCGTCAATAGGAGGTGGAGTGACTCCCGCTCTTGTTGGTCATCCTGTACAAACACTGCTGCTCAGTGATCCCTCGGCGGCGGCTTCAATTTACCAACAGCCTCCCCCTCCTTCTCAGTAGGATAGGTTATATTAGGCTAATAAGATATAACCGCTGAGAAGATTTTCCTCTTGAACCATGCATGTAAATAGATACTCGGATCAATCTCAAGCTCTTGCTCACGTGCCCACTGTACATATTTCGTTTGCAACGAACGACCCGATATCTCAAAGACGAGTCGCTCAGCCGGCTAGTCTGACTTTGAACGGCTCTAGGTTCGAGCGATACGGCTGTGGAAAGACAACTCTCGGATGCCTCTGGAGGAAAATCGTTCACTGAATGAAGGTTACTAGGTATATCTGACCCCCGGAGGCATCGGGCTCCTGCGAGTGTTCACGAGGAGTGGAGAGTGATCATCTTTCTCGTTCTATTCACGTAGTACTTCCACCTAGCGAGCAAAACGAGATTCTCTATTCACTCAGGGTTTGACGACATGATGCTTCGGAGGCTCGGAGGCAAGCTACAAGTTAGCTTGCTCCAGTGCACGAATCCTCGAGTGGCTGCAAGGTCGGCTACTGGAGCAACAGTGCCGTAGGTGATGGTTATTATCATTCAATAAAGCTGTTGCAGTCAGCTCCTCGCGTTCTCTAAATGCGACCTTTTTTTCTGAAAGAAATCTTTTCCCCACGGAACAGCGTCACCCGAACCGTATCCCTCCCCGCGTGACGAATCTTGAGCAGAACTTCAATCCAGTGATGCGGAGCTCAGCGAGAAATCCCCATGGTCTCTTGGATTTCGGGCATATATCCTGGTCCCGTATCACCGCCACGATCTCCTCGGATCATGCATGACTCGAGTGGCGTGTCTTGGCTGGTTTCCCCGAATCGTTCCCGCAGAGCTGCCGAAGCGGTGGTTCGCCGAACTGAAGCAGAAATAAATCTCTGAGGGCAGCCATGCCTGTGAAAGCTTTGCGAAATCTCCAATATTTCCGTCTCATCAGGACTTGAACAATATCTGCTTCGGGATTATTCCCAGTCGCATAACAGGAGAGGGTCCCGATTTCGTTTGAAGACTACCTCAGCGGCAACAAGATTCCCTTCTGGATTAGCCAACCCAAAGCACCTGTGCGATAGCCTCCAATCAGCCGGAGCATTCCCGGCAGACTCGAGGGTGCTTTCGAGGAATGAGCGGCAGCGCTCGTCTGGAACGGTAGATGAGGGATGATTCCACATGCTCTCAATATTCCCTCCAGCCTCCGTGTCTCCACTGGCGCCAACGGGGACTTATCGATGCTCTCTTGCGAACGATTTTCGTGTTGACGCGTGACGTCGAATAGCTGGCGGCATTCCGCGCAATACTGAGGCGTTCAGGTTTTTGCATTCTGAATTGAATTCAGATTGATCTAGATTAAGAAAATCTGTGAGGTCGTTCCATCCCGAAGATATGCCGCATCTCCTCTGACGAGCGCTCGGACTACCATAAACCTTTTTCTTCTATTGAGATTCCTATATTCAAGCGGGGTTCCCTTCCGAAAACTGGGAGCAAATCCATTGAGCGAATCTACGAGACTGGTGGAAGCTCGGAAGGGAATCGCCGCAGACAAATTTTCTCGATTTCTCATCGGTGAGAAGTAAGAGAGGCCCGAAGGATGTTCTGAGCGCGTGAATATTGATTGGAGTCATTGATACAAATGATATCGAATACATTTAGGTATATCGGGATCGGGATATCTCATCGCTCCAGGTTTGGAAATTCACCCCGATCGACCTCGGCGGGTTAGGTGGAAAAATCTGCCAAAGAGGTGGTGAATACATACCCTCTTTTCCATTATTCCCTATAGTGCGTCGAGATTTCTGGTACAGCTTGAGCAGAATACATTCCCCTTGGGAGAATTTAAGGCCGTGGTGCGAAGGAATCACAATCACGAGTTATGCCGGGGGGATCATGGCAGAGGCAGATAGGTCTGAGTGTCCTCCGAGATGGCTAAGGCTTGCGTTTGTCCTGTTCTGCTCTATCGAAAACTGAGACTTCTATTCTTCATTCACGAGGAATTATCCTTCGTGTGAACGGACAGATCATCATCAACTCCTCCGATCATCTCGCGCTGGAGCGTTGGGCGCGACGTCGCCGACATGGCATGGCATGAGACGGGCTTCACAAGAAGCATCTTCCAACCAGCGGATGCTCCAGCGATACTATTCGAGTCTTAAAGCCAAACTCATCGAAGAGCTGCTACTGTCTTTACTGGAATTGAATGAGTCCTTCGCGCTCGTTTTCCGATTCCCCGCGGTAGACCACAGACTCCGGGACCCGACAATCTGGGACGTGGAGTTCAAGTATTGAAGTAATCGGAGAAGCATGAAACGCCATTCTCTGTAGAAGTGGCCTGACTGTACCCATCGACGTTGATGGGTCGCGGGTCGCGGCTCTCCTGTTTGCAGAATATCCGCGCTCCCAAGCCTGGTTCGACAGTAGTGAGAAGCAAGGGGGCTTCCTGCTCGTCTCTCGTATCAGATTCCCGCGCCTGGTAGCTGGTAGGTAAAAGAACTCAGTCAGTGTTTGCCGATCTCCGATCAAGAAAGACGCAGCCGGCGAATACTCTCGCCGCATCTCCCAGACCTGCTGCGCTGCCGGACTCGAGGCGCGGCTCCGTTATTGTACAGGTGCAGCTCCTCCATCATCCACGACTGGATAGCACTTTCCTGCCCCAGTCGAAATGATGAATCCGCGTGATGGAAGCTTAGATCGCTCCTCCGAGTTGCTAATTTGAAATCTATCGGCATCGCCACAACGGAATTGCCCGCGCTGTCCTAGTCGTATTAGACTACCTTCTTACTAAGGTGGTTAGGCGTTCTCCATAGTCTACAATGGGCACCAGCGCTATCGCTATCCCGGTCTATTTCGAATATCTTAGCAGACGACATCCCGTAATCGAGAAGCGGAGAGGGGGGCTAAATATTTTGAGCCTCCTCCTCCACCGACTTCGCAAACTTTCACGGGATCGCATGTGAGCTCATTGAACTCAAACCATGCTCTCCCTGTTCAGTCGATACGTTCCATCTTGCTATCGGAATCTTCTCCCGAATGGAGCCTGTAATATACACACTTCGTCGCAGCTGTGGGCTGAACCTATGAGGAAGAGACGGCGAATGGATCCTGCGCTCCTGAAGATGCGCGAACAACGGAAAATTCGCAAACTGGAGAAAGGCATCAGGTTTGCGCACGATGAGATAAGTTCCGTGGAGTTTCGAATTTTCACACGACCCGGCACCGCTGACTTCTGGCTCTTTGTTTTAGGCAGTTGAAGAAACATGCTAAAAAAATGAAACCGATCGACGAAATGGAAGTATCACCAAAGCTCCAGAGAGAGCTCGCCGATCGGAAGCGTCAACTCCCTGATTTGCCCCCGAATATCGTGTCTTTTCGACAAGATCTGATCCGAGTTTGGAGTAGGGTGCAGTCTGCCTACTATAAAGACGAAACTAAGGTCCGAGTCCCGAAGCATCGAAATGTCTGTTTGGATCCCGAATACTAAAATCTCTCCAGCGATGACTCCTCGCAAGCTAATGCTCGCTCCCTCGCAGATCATCTCCGCCATGCTCCATTGTCAGAACGCTGCTCTGGAGGACCTGAAAGAAGCTGATCCGGGACTATACGATGCCGCCATGCAACCCGATCTCTCGCTAATACCATTCAAGATAGACGCAGTGACTGAAACGCCGCCATTGAAGAACTACCAGCCGCCGGACGGGAAATATACGGAAACCACGAAGAAGTGGCGACCCTGAGGACAGCGAAGCCGCGCGTGAATAGAGTTCTTATAGCACAGAATAAAGGCGTGCCTTCGCTATTGCCTGTGATGGCTTTGATTTCACGAGAGCTCCTGATAACGCTGCCTGGTCTTCGCGACAGAATCCGATTCCTTCTCTGTTCTGCAGCGTCCTGCCGAATGCCAACAGCATTGAAATTCCGAAACATTATTCGCTCTCTCAGACCGACGACGAGGGAATTCGTGATATATCGCTCGGTCCCGGCCTTAATCTCCCAACCCGGGCTCCAAAGGATCGATTGGATATGGGATATGATCCCCCGGGAATCATCAGTGATGAGATGAGAACAAGCTTCCGGAGCGCAGTGATTCTAGAGTCTCGCCTAAATCGGAAAAACTCATCGGAGAAAGCCAGACGGAAAGCCACAAGCTTCGGGTCTACAGGGCGGTCCCAGGATTTTTTGTTTTGGTCTTGGAAACGGTGAGATGGAAAAAGTGCGATGGATAACCCCCTGGCTTTTTGATTTCCCTTCGGGAAACCATGTTGCCCGCTAAATCAGGGTTGATGCCCACGAGAGGAAGTCTCACACTCGATTTTTCCCTATGAAGGAAGGAGCGTCCATTTCTTTCCTGATTATCTCCCTCAAAAAACGGCTTGGTTTAGAAGAAAAAGGGGGAGGTGGACCCATCCTTATTTTCGATTTGACATCCGAAAAGGAGGTCCCCAACTCTTTTTCTTCGAAACTCAGCGTTTCCGAGAATACCGAGAATAGTAGCGAAGAATCGAGTGGGGGAGCACCCGGTATACACTACATTCCTCGCTCCCTAGCGATAATGTCTGAACAAGCGGCGGGAACCCGCAAGCGCACCGAAGTCTGTGGGCTTCTTGACTTCGCGAGTGGGCGGCAATCTCTTAGTGACCTGTCGGGTTGGTAAGTCCCTGGGGGGAAAACCACAGACTACGGGCGTCGGGCAACGCGGAACGACGACTTCAGGTGAAACAGCGGAAACGAACGCCAACGAATCCTCTGCTTCCAATTTGATAGTACTGGGTGAATTGATGGATCTTCTCCAGATTTGATTCAGCTGCCGCGTAAGGTACTGCCCGTCAACCTTCTCGTCGCGCAAGATTTTCGCGACTCGCGATGCCGCAGTGGAACTTGGTCGGAACTCCGCGCTCGCCGTCCAAGGCAGCCCCCACTCGTTTTCGCTCCAAAGAGGAACGGACCCAAACTCAATGATGCTTGCCGAGGTCCTGCTTGTACTATGAATCCTCGGCAGAGCTGACGCCTCGCGACCCGGAAACAGAGAAGGCGATCGTATTGGACGGCCTAAAAACACATTCGCTAGAGTCTTATGGTAATGGGAAGCGCTCGGTGTACAGCTATACCTCGCTACCGCCGTCCCCAATGCCACGGGGTTCGGCGACTCAAGAGAACGTTTCGGAGTGCCAAACTATTTCTCAGCAAGCCCATCGCTCTGGGGCAAATACGGTGATGGCAAAGGATAAACAATATGCCGATTTGCACAAAATTAATCGATATCGGCTGACAGTAATTGACCTCCGTTATCGGCGACAATTATCATTGCACCGAGGTCTCCGAAGCGGCGAGGAACGACTCCCAGATACTTGATAAGCTTCCGACTTGAGATGGGCCGCCTATAAAAAAAGCATCCATACCTCGAATAGGCATCAACGATAAGCAAGTAGGCATGACCAGCGTTGCGACATGAGGGGACTCGTCATTTTTCGTCCGCTTCTCGGAGTCACACAGGAAGTGTCCGCTGTTCGGAGTTGCCGAGGGAACGGCACTATTTTTGTTTGGGGATTGACTCCCCGCGCTATCTTCTCTTCGAGCACAGAGGTGTCAACAGCATCAGCATGAGCCTAGTCTTGGTTAAAAAAAATTCTTCCCTGAACGATGGTATTTGGACATTGCAGTTCACCCGAGTGATTTGATCAGAGAATTAGTTGGAGAAAAGAATCGGCCTCATGAAGCGGGCCAAATATCTTGATTAAGTGTCCGTTCTCGATGTCCGCTTTTCGCCGCGCGGACATTGTCCTCTTTACGGCATCGAGATTGCCTCTCATATCCAGGCATGAGCCATGCCTCATGGGGTTTCGCGAAACCGAGCTGTACCCGAACTCACGGCCTCTACGGCTTCGCCCGAGGGCCAGAGGAACTCCGATGGGAGACGCCGCGTTTGAGCCTAATGTCTGCACGGCTTGCACTAAGGTAGACAATCATCTTGACAGTTGCTCAGCGACTAGGTCTACGACGTCGACTAAAACAAACTCTGTTCATTGTGTATGCAACACATATGCCCTCCATCAATAGCAATCAGCTTGAATGAGCGAGAAATCGCCCCGAAGTGGCTTCGAATTCGGAAGAGCAATCGAGATCTGTCAGGGAAGGTGCGATATGCTAACAAAAAACCGTCTCCTTCCGATCGTACGGTGTGCTCTGGCGACCCTCATTCTTGAGCCCCATCGAAACTAGAGACGGAAGCAAAAGGTGCCATCGTGACAGGATTTCAAAGCGGTTCAACCTGCACACGACGGCAGGGCTGGACCACACAGCCTCGGCGACGCAGCTCGCGGTGACATCATACCTAGCGTACCCCGCCGCTCACGAGGGCCGCTGGAAGACTGGTCAGTTGTTGAAATTACAATTGATTACTAAATTGTAATTTCAACAGCTAAGCACCCAATCCACCGGGCGCTGACGGAGCGATGTCACTGTCGATGCTAGATCTTGTATGCTTCCTATGGGGTGATTGGAGCTCTATATACCCTCGTTCTAGTTACTCATCAGCCGAAGAGGTCTGCGGGTGGTTGGTCGTCCAACTCCCGCTCAGCCAAGATCTCTTCGAGAATTGATGAAAATGAACTGAGAACTGCATTTCCGGAGATCGAATTCTATAGGATTACCTCCGTGATACTGCCGTTTTATTGCACGCAATTCACCATTACTGATCTTCGAGGCAGCGTCGAGGCAGAGACCGCCATTGAGCTCAGTGAGTCGTGGGCCGCGGCAGAGAACGAGACCCCGCGAGACGGACGTAAGCTTGGGACTATCCGCACGAATAGGGGCTGATCACCTGATCACATACATGTATTCCGTCAACTTGAGGAGAACGGATGGTATGGCGTCGAGAAGCTATTTTCTCAATACATATTCACAGAGCGAACCCGTCGGAATCGGCGCTGCGTGAGCTCTCAGTCGCCAGCGAACCCTAGCGTCGAGCGGGCGAAACTCTGAAGTAGAGGCTCTCGAAGGCTCATGCCAGCGTGAGCTCGCCATGTATAATTCGTCGCATGTATAAATACGATTCGTCTGGAGCACAAACCTTGACACGGCGTCGAGTCGAGATCAAGTCAAGCCGCAAGGATAAGCCGCACCTGGCACTTGCAGCCTCCGCAGGCGATCTCCACGCGAGAATCTTGGTCGCAGTGCCTGAACGCCTGCTCGCATACGACGAGCGAGGGCGAGCCGTTGCCGCAGAATCGGCTCCTCTGACTCATTCTGATATTCCTTTCTACCATGGAAACTCCAGGCTCTTCGGGAATAATTCCAATGCTAGTAATTCGTGTGGATCCCGGAACTTGAATCGGCTTCAAGGATGGATCGAGTCCAGTAGCGAGAGTGAACCGCACTTGGCACACGCGGCCACCGTGGGCGACTCTCAGGCTGGAACATTTGTCGCCGCCCCTAGATGCCTGATCGGAGACCGCGTTCGAAGGCGAGCCGATCCCGGTGACCTCGAGTCATCTCTTCGGTCTCAATCACAAATTTTCCCAGACGATGGATACTTCAACCTCCTACAAGATCACTTGTATGCTTGTGCTGGGCATGCGTCGAATCCTCAGAACTTGTGTTGGCTCCAAGTTGAGAATTCGAATGCTCAGATACCAGCGATCAGCGATAAGATGGACCGAGTGATTAGAGAAGCTCTCAGGAAAGGAGCGGACGTGGTGCTGGCTCGAACGGACAACCTCTCTATACGTCGTTCCGACTTGGAAACACTCCACAATCTAAACTGGCTCAACGACACTATAATGAATGGCTACCTCAATCTCATCAGCAAGCGACGCTCTCATCCTCCGCCGCCGCAGATCCTCCGATATCCATCACCTGGGACTGTTCTACTGTCGAGAGTCGGTACAGATCGACTTCAGGCCTCCCAGGTCAGGACCGCCAAACAGCTTCACGTTCACTAACATGTATTGACGCTCATCGTCGGAGTCAAGCGATTCCTGCACATCATGCGAACCACGTCGCCCATCGTCAAGTCCCCGAAAGAAGATGTCTGCCAGGAATACACGAGATCCGATGAGAATTACGAATATTCTGATTGCTCTCCGGGGCGCTACCTACTATATCTTCCGTCTCGACCGGCTGACCAGAATTCAATGAGCGAACTGTTCTCCGATTCTTCAACTGCTTCTTTAAATCTGACACGATGTCCGAGCGACCGTCGATCAGAGCTCGAGTGAGCGTACAGTTCAGGAACTCGTTTATGCGAGCCGGTGTCAGAGCACAAACGTTACTGAATGAGGCTACAGACACCGCTTCGAGAAGATCACCAGTAGGAAGATGCATGGCCACGATGAGAACGACAGCGAAGAAGTCCATTCCGGACTCCTCCACCGAGGCCCTAACTTTAAAACAACATAGACTGATCGGTCGCTGCTGGGAGCTAGAAAGGATCTAGGCGAGAATCTACCTCTGGCGAAATTAATCGGATAATTTCACAATGAAGTCGTCGAAATCAATTTCCCGCGATAGAATTTTCATGTGTTGTCGTTGGTGAATAGGTCCGATCGAGTGACCTTCGGGAAATTCGGAAAGTCGTTCGATTCGCAGCAATCGGAACGATGCTTCTGGCGCCGATGTGCATCGGTCGCCGGCTCCTCCCGGATATTTGAAGTACGGAACACAAATTAATCACGAGGAACGGGTCATCTCGTGGTGGCACCGCCCCCAATATACATAGTTTTATTGTATGCATGGATGTCTTGACAGTCCTTGGTTTTGACGTACAATGCTTCCCACAAGGGAATGCTCATCCGATCCGAG